TAGTGAACCCGTTCGGGGTTTACGTGGTGTTGGTTTCAAGCTAAGTTCCACTAATCAATATGACGTAGGGGAAAAATCATTAACTAATTTATCAGTTCCAAAAAGCAATGGTGATATTACTACAAAATTGTATGTAGATACAGCATTCCATATGTTGCAACAATCATTAACTAATTTAATAAACGTAGATATGATCGATGTGATGAAGAAGATTATTCATGAAGAAGTATTTAGCATAGTTGGTAAAAGAACTTATGATCTTGAACAAGCAGATCGTGATAAGGAAAAATGTAAACAAACCTTTATAACACTGAATGGAAAGTTGATTGAGCTAGAAAAAAAAATCAAAAGATCGTTACTACGTATATAAACATGCGGACTTAAAATCTAGTAGAACAGTTATTCGAAAATATGAGTGCGATAAACAACACAATTGATAAGTTTGGTCATCGAGGAAATAAAGTGAACGATCCAGCAGTTCGTGGGTTACCTGGAATAGGTTTTAAGCTCGATGTCAATGACCAATTTGATATGGAGGGCAAGTCCTTAACTAACGTATTAGAGCCAAAAAATGATTGTGACGCAACCACCAAAAAATACGTTGACAATACAGTAATACAGCTACGACAAACAATTGCGAATATGCTAAATGGTGAAATACATAATTTAATGGTGAAGATTATCGATCAAGAAATAGATAAAGCCATTCCTACGGAAACTCAACAACTAAAGCTAGCAATTCTGGATAGACAAAAGTGTATGCAAGGGCTTGAAGTGATGGAAAAAAGGATTAGTCATTTGGAATTTAAATTTTCTTGAAGACATTGTATTGGTGATGAGAAGTTCAAAATAGTTGTAGTCGTTATATTATGATGCTTTAGTTAATAAATAAATAAATAAATAAAACAAACTGCTCACTTAAATTAGATAGTTTTATTTCAGGTAAATTTAAACAATATCAGCTAAATTAATCCATGAGTTATCGGATTCCGGAAAACCCAACCATTTAACAAACAACTGATCCATTGAATTTTTCTTTCGACGACGAATTATTTTCTCAATTAAGTATACATGAGGATTCCTGGTTTTCTGTAATTCGGCTTCATAAAAACATCCCTTAATGATTTGTCCATCCAAAGATTCTAAAGCATATGTTGGTGGATTTGTGATCTTGACCTGGATAATTTTAAATAATTCTGTAGACCATGATGGAGTATATCCTTTTTCGAACAAACTCTTATATTTACTAATGCGTACAATATCACCAACATCAAATTTAAAAAATTTGGGAGCAATTTTTGGGTTATCATAGATGCTTAAATTTGTGTGCTCTGTTACATCTACTGGTTTCATTCCTATGGTGCGATGAATAGTGTGATTATAGCTCTTAGTAACTTTTGGTAGAAGTTTCAACCACCTATATGTACCTCTTGCAGAAAATTCCTTATACAAACGATTTTTTATTGTTCTGATAACTCGCTCCACGATTGCTGCTTTTTTCGTGCTATATGTGGAATAGTGATTTATATGAAATCTATCCATTAAACTCCTGAATTGTTGGTTGTAAAATTCGGTACCATTGTCACTTTGTAGGTTGTTGGGTGAGTATTTTGCATTCCTGATAATACTTTCCATAGCTTTAGTAACTTCGAATGCAGTTTTAGTTTTTATAGATTGAGAATATACATATTTCGAAAAACAGTTTATGCATATCAAAATATATCGATAACCATCATTTTCATTGGCATATTGTTGCATTTCTATTAAATCTATTTGACATAAATCCCAATAACCCTTTATTATTGTGCGCCTTCTCCGAAAGTTTTTTCGTGATGATCTATGCAATTCATTTACAACCGCCCATTTTATAGGTGTGGGTTCCATATCTATTCAATGAATGTTCAGTAACTACTGATAATTATAATATTCACCACACCTTTAATAAACTATACCTTCTTCTCTTAATTCTTCGATGATTGAAATTATTTCATTATCATGACCTGTGTGACCAACTGTTTTTGATGCACACAGAAGTCGCAACCGATTTACTAGTTCTTTCGGTTTATTCCAATAGACATACTCTATACGTCGCTTGGATAATAATTTATTTGATGGTATTTTACCACCCTTGGTGTGCAGCCCACTACCTTGAGTTGGTTTAAATAATGGATCTAACAATTCACTGAATTTGGGCCACCTTGATGTTCTTATTTTTTTATCTTTATTATAGTTATGGTTCATAGCATGAGTACGCTTCAATATTTCTCTATATGTTTCCAAAGTGTTATCCGATAACTTAGTCAAATTATCTAGAACTTTTGGTTTTTTTAAAAAAAGTAAATCATACAATTCATTACTTCCTTTGAAAGATCCGATTTTTTCATTATTTCGCCATAAATCAATATTACCAGAATTAAATTTTGCTTCAGCATCTCCAATGAAATATTTGTTTTTGTGTTTTTTCTCTGTCCTAACTCCATAGACTGTGTCGTATTCGGATGGTTTATTATATAGTCCCTCAATGTATATCTCTGGTGAATTTTCTTCGTATGAAGCAACAGAATTCTCTTCATCTGAATCGCTACCATCAAGAATACCCTTCCACTTTCGATGGATAGGTGTAAAAAAGTTACTTGAGATATCTAATTCCGTCTTTTTTTTCGAAGTGGGTCTATCAGACTGTAAAACATTTTGTAGTTTTTGTTTCTCTAAGGATTGAGACATAGAATTGAGGGGTTTTGTTACCGGCTCATACATCTTCTCTAACATCAACTTGTCATCTGCTTGCATGGCTTTAATTTCTCTAAATTTCTTTCTCACGGCTTCGGTCGCTTCAATCAACTCATTTTTCAAATTCAGATCCTCACTCATGGTGTTGTCGTAGTATGGTTTTATGGTGAACTAATAAAAAGTTACATCAATTTAGTGATATATAGGATGTGAAACCTTTACGATATCGTCCCGAACTGCAATCACTGTCTTTATCAATTACGAGAAACCCATATTTATCGCTCCAGCAAAGAGCACACATTTCCAGGAATTTTTGGAAAGTCATATCAGGAGCTACATGATCAGAAAAAATATGTCGCAAATTCATCTCATCTTGTTTAAATAAAGCGATAAAATTAGCGTTGTCTCGTACAAGTTGTTTTGGAACTCTGGAATAAGTCTGCGCTAAGTAGAAGGAGTCCACATTCTTATGACGCCCCATACTGAAGTATGACCTTATAACATCCTGCTTTTCACACATAACATCATCAAAAATGAATATGGAATTGGGTTTTGCCTCTGACGGTTCAACAATATTGGTGGTATCACTAAAAGTGTAAAATCCAAGTCCTTTAACAGTCGCCATAACTTTTCTAAGATATTCATACTTTGGTTGGTATAACGATTTAGAATATATATAAATGTTCTCAAATCTTAACCCAAGTGGATGAGTTAATAAGGAAATCATAACATTAGTCTTGCCACAGTTTGATGGTCCAATAAGTAGTCCCCGAATTGATGTGGGAAAAGTATCTCCATGACGTCTTTGTTTATTCCCTTTCTCGATACCATAACCAATTTTTTCATCCAAGTTGTCTACTCGAATTTCATAAGGCAGTTGGATAATTTTCATATTTATACACAAACGAATACACACATATGCGATATATTTATATATGTATATTAGAATAAAATTCCTATTCAGTTCAATGTTATCAATCAAACGAAGTGGTCGACTCAGTAAACGTCTTGAAACTGGTGGTGGACTAGTGAATTCTATAATTAATAAACTACCATTAGAATTACATTTACCAGGAGGGTATCAGTATTGCGGTCCAGGAACTAAATTAAAGAAAAGATTGAGGAGAGGAGATTCAGGAATTAATATTTTAGATATTGCATGTAAAAAACACGATATTGCTTATTCTGAAAACAGTGATATAAGTCAACGACATCGAGCCGACTATCAGTTGGAACAAAGCGCTTGGGAACGTGTCAATTCCAAAGACGCTGATCTCGGAGAAAAAGCTGCGGCTTGGTTAGTTACAAACACTATGAAAACGAAGCGAAAACTGGGTATGGGTCACCAACCTAATTTGAAAATAAATAAGCGAAAGAAGAAGAAAACAGCTAGAAGAAAATCCAGTATTAAAGTTCGCAAAGTAGCTTTTGGATCTGCTCTATCCAAACCTATTAGAAATATTTTGAAAAAAGAAGTTCATAGTAAATTTATAGATAAGAAAAATCTTGTAAAATCAGCTAGAGTAGCACTGCTTGCGGCTCGTAAATCATTGAAGACAATTGGTGGAAAAAGGAAGGTCCGCATGCCAAGAATAATTCCGATACCAAAAGTTGGGGGAGTTCTCCCCCTACTCCCGATCTTTGCGGGTTTATCGGCTTTAGGCTCTCTAGCAGGAGGTGCGGCTGCTATTGTTCGAACAATCAAGGAAGTATCGAATCTGAAAAATAGTAACAAGAAATCAGATGAAATGGTGATTGGGAAAGGATTGTTTCTAAAACCATATCGAGCAGGATATGGACTATTCCTTCAACAATCAAAAAACTAGATATCAAATCCCTACCGCAAAGAGCGTTGACGAATATCGATCTAGAAATATATGCGAAAAGAGAAAAAATACCATATTTTCGCGGTATATTTATGCGAGATACTTTGCCAATGAATGGTCCAAACAAAAATGAAGCAGCAATAGTTAATTTGGATAGTATTAGTGGTGTGGGAACTCATTGGGTAGCATATCGAAAAACAGGCTCTATCGCCATTTATTATGATAGTTTTGGTGATTTACCCCCTCCACGAGAACTCATAAATTATCTGAAAAAGATGCGTAATGCTGTCAAGTATCTCTATTATACATACGAGCGCCAACAAAAATTTGGTACAGTTTTGTGTGGACATTTGTGCTTAAAGTTTCTCGTAAAACAGCAGTAGGGTTAAAATGTTTAAGTCAACAGATAAATGTGTCTCTCAATTTCTTATGGATTTCTATAAGCTCGGCAGCTTTATGAACTTTAGTAGAAAACAATTGGAGCAAATACCTAAAGAAGTTTTACTTGCGTGTGCTCCAGAAGAAATAGCATTGATATGGAACAAGTTACCAGAGCACCTCAAGAAGGATAAAGATATTATACAATACCAATACTGTACAGATCATGATGAGACTAGAGGTTCTGAGGATGTTATAGATGGACCACCCCCAAGAAAGCTATTTTGTTGTTATTGTAATATTAGAGATGTACAAATTAATGCTGGGGAAAAGGAATCCAACGATAACTTTTTAAACAAGTTTTGTAAGTTACAATAAAAACAATCAGTTGTGTATGGTTGCTATCAGTCATGTCTTACACATTCACCCTATCAGGACATTCTAGTGAGCTTAGTAGTGAGTTTTACCCATCTGGATTCTGGAGCTAAATATGGTTTGGCCTTGTTAGGATTTTATTCATATAATTCAATTTTCAATGTCGACGAGAGTAACAACTGTTTTGGATATTCCAAAAATGTCAATGGACCTTACGAAACAATAAGAATACCTCCTGGAGCCTATGAGATTTCCACCAACAATGATATTATGTTAGATGCTCTGAAATCAGCATCAAAGATCAAAAACAATAATATTTTCTCATTGAATGCCAATAACAATACTTTGAAATGCGAATTGATATCTACACTCAACTTGAATCTGGATTATCCAAATTCGATTGCCCAAATATTAGGATTTGAGAAGAAAACTTATGAAAAAAATTTGAAGCACGTGTCCAGCTTACCAGTCAACATTATGAAGGTTAGAATAATTCGGGTAGACTCCAACATAACGTCTGGTGCATTTATAAACTCCGAAGCTTCACATACAATATTTGAGTTCGACATAGATGTTGAACCAGGTTATAAGCTGAGCAAGGAACCAACTAATATTATATATTTACCGATTATTCCTGAATCACGTCAGTTTATAGACAACATTACACTTCGCATCGTGGATGATACTGGTAGTCTTATAAACTTTCGCGGTGAAAAAATTATTGTTAAACTAGAGTTAAGGAAGCTAATCTAATAAATTAAATAAATAAAAATGGGGTTTTGTTTCATTCGCACTGTGAATAATCCTCAAAAACAGAATGAAGATATAAAGTTCAATAAAAATGTAGTTCATAGTGCCAAGAATGTCATTCTTCATTCAAACGCCAAACGCAGAAGATCTAAGCTTAATCAAAAAGACTTATCGTTTCTTAAATCCTTGGGTTTAAGACTTAAAGTGAAATGTTAACTACCAGTGAAAAAATCGAAATATTCGACGCTCCAATTTTGGACAATTCTATAACAAGCTCACAGGAATATACCTATAAACCATATGGGGCTCCATCATTTAAAAATTCAGACGAAATCCGCATTCCTATACATTTTCAAGATTTGATATTAGATGTGTCTGAGAGCTTCATTTACATCGAGGGGAAGTTCACTCCTTCCGATGGGACTAAAAAGTGTCATTTATCAAATAATGCACTAGCATTTTTATTTGATGAAATCCGTCTCGAAATGGGTGGCGAACAACTTGCTGTAGTTCGAAAACCAGGTATCACTACAGCTTTAAAAACGATGGTATCATATGGAACACAAAATACAAAATCACTATATTCATGCGGATGGGGTCTTAGCGATACGAAGCGTCAAATTTGGGACCCTGTAAGCATGGTTTTCTGTGGAAAATTACCATTGAAATATTTAATGGGTTTTGCAGAAGACTACCAGAAAGTAATATTTAATGTTAAGCAAGAGCTCATACTTATTATTGCACGCACATTCAATAATTCCTACATAGGACAAGTAGATGCAAATATTACAATAGATAAAATTGAGTGGAAGATAAGACATTTAATTCCAGAGGATAGGTTGAAGTTAAAAATCCTATCTCGCATTAACAAAGGTGGAAATATGGCCGTAGTTCCTATGGCGTTTAGATCGTGGGATTTGTACGAGTTACCATCTTTACGACAAACACAATCAGATGTGTGGGCCATACGAACTTCAACTAGTTTGGAAAGACCTAGGTATATAGTTTTAGGCTTCCAATATGCAAGTTATTCAGACAATCGGGAGAAAGATGCAACGCTGTTTACGCCAGCAAATATTAGTGATATCAGGGTATACCTAAATTCTTCAGTTTTTCCATATGAAAGATGGAATTTGGATTTTTCAAAAACCCTATTTACTCCAGCCTATAATAGCTATGATCGATTTCAAAAAGCTTATTATGGAAGAGAATGTAGTGACCCTATGATGGATATTGAAGAATACATGCAAAACCCAGTTTTTGTAATAGATTGTTCACATCAAGTAGAAGCAATAAAAAACTCAACTGTGGATATAAAAATTGAATTTTCTTCAAGAAAAACTTTTCCTAAAGACACTAAAGTGTATGCATTAATTATTCATGATTCATTCTGTACATATAATATTTTGAATGGCTCTGTTATCAACAAGTCATCCATTTAATTTTTTATTGTATTATAACGATCTAGTTTTTTACACTCCAATCGCTCGAAATAATTCTGTGTTCGCATATTTTATAAGAATAAAATATAAGTAGGTAGGTAATAAAGTATAGTTTTAGGATAATCAGCAAAATTTAACTTCATGTATCTTTATATTAGCCCTAGGTTGTTTAATTATATTTATCCAATAAAAATTATTTATAAATGTAATAAATCTATTTTTTCTTTCACCTTATTCCAACCACCACATAAAGAAATAAACTATTTCAATGATAAAGATCGTTCATCAACGAAATGCATTATTCTTTGAAAAATAATACATTTCATTCCTTTCCAAACCAATGGATGTTTTTTTCTAAGTGGTTTAGAAATAATAAAGAGCTGTCATAGCTTTTCACAAAGAAAACACCGCCCTTCTATGAAAATAAAGTATTTCAATGACTGAGGATTATTCTTTTGTAAAGAGGATTATCCTTATCGTAACAGGTATAAATTTCTATGGAACAATACTATTTTAAAGCTCAAACTTTGTCCTATTGTAACAAAAAATCCATCATATCAAAATTGCTCAAACTCTGTCCTATTGTAACAAAGAAACTCATAATTTCAAAATTGCACAGGTGCCCACTTTACAAACTTTTGTTGTGAAGAAATGGTACCTATCAAACTAGAATTTTTTTCACAAAGAAAACCTCCTTTTGTGTAGATTTTAACCATTCAAGGTAGCCATCGAAAAGGCAACACTGTAAAAAATTTGAGGGTCTTAAATATTTTCTTACAGATTATTGAGATTGGGATTTGGCAACGCTTTATAAAATTTTTATTAGTACTCTGACATTCGAACATATAGGCTGTACGAATAGCATAATGAACGCCGGTCAAAAACCAGTAGCAATTGTGAGACCCTATTCAATTAATAAAAAACGAATTTGTATGTTGTGTGGAGAAAGATCAATTGGAATAAATGAATCAGGTTTTTGTGAAAGGTGTGAAAATCCCGTAGTGAAGAGATTGGTGGAAGTTGCAAGAAATGTGTTTGAGACACAAAATTTTGCGGCTGCCCCAAAATCCATTGTTTTGCGAAGGTGCAGGTCAATAGCGGTCAGAGTAGTGATAGAAAAACTTAGTGAACCTTACGGAGGTACAGGTGAGCGTGTAAAAAAGTTTCTAGAACACGCGTTGAGGTATTATTATGCCAACTAATTGACGGATGATGGGTTTTTTTCTTTGAAATTTGACTTTACCCATTCAAAAAAAAAGTGTAATGGGGCGCGAATTAAGAGCTCAGTACATGACTGGCAGCCCTGTGAAAGACTTATTTTTTAATGTACCTAAGTACATTAGTACTTATTACATTAAAGAATAAGTCCAACCGGAAGCTCTTTAAATAGATTTTGTCATATGAACTAAAATAATATGTTTAAATTCTTATTCTGATCATTATATTATATTTTTTAAATTTACAAAAAATTATAGTCTTATTTATTATGTTGTTGAATCAGCTGGACCATCTTCTTCTTCTCCCATTTCTTGTAGCACATCTGGAACGCACCACCAAGTACTGTCAGCTGGTCCATCATACTCTTCTTCTTCTTGATGTTGTTGTGGGGGTATAATCCACCAACTGGAAGAGTCTGGTTCTGTTTGCTCATCCTCCTCCTCCTCCCATTCATCTTCTTGCTCTGCTGGATCATCTTCCATCGTCATCATCTTCGAAAACCCAACGCTGAGCTGGTTCGATACTATCATTGGAAGACATTGTTGTGTTTAATATTTTTGAGCCTTTCGAAACTATCTAAAGGAATGAATCTTCACCCACCAATTCGCATCTATATGTGTTTTCAAACAATGATAACCCCCCCACCCAATCACCTATAACTTTTTTTCTAAAATCAGAAGATTTCTCATTATTGAATCCTCCAGTGACCCAATTCTTAAATATTCTCACATACGAAATTTGAAATAACTTCGAATGTTGGAGGAAAATGGAAAATGTGAAAGATGGGGGTTTTCTTGAACTATTCAAAAACTATTTTCTTGGAAAATATGAAGAAAAAATGGGTAAATTTTCTGAAATCAAAGGATTTGTTGAGTTATTGAATTGCCCCCAATAGCTCAATTCTTGAATAATTTTGTATATGAAATTTGGAGTGATTTTGAACGTTGGGAAAAATGAGAAAAAGTGAAAAAATGGAGATTTTCTCAAACTCTTCAAAACTATTTTCTCGGAAAATACGAATAAAAATGGGTATCTTCTCAAACTTTTCAGAACTTGTTGCAGTTCGAATATTTTTTACCTTAAAAGTTTTATTCTATTTTATTGGAGACTATTGGGATTTAAAAATTTCCATTCCATTCCTTTTCAAGACAAGTGTTTTTGTTTTAAAATTTGATATTTTATTCAAATATACATACATTCAATACATAATACGTAAACTAACCTTATAATGAATTTTATTTCTATATACATATTAAATATATTACATTAAATTTCCTATTTCCTAATATCTATAGAATTAAATTATTATTAGGTTATTAATAACAATTTAATTCCATAGATCCATAATACTATTTTTAAACTCTATACTATTTCTATTTAGATCTTCCAATCTCCCCTGCTTCACCTGCAGATCCACTTTTAGAAGTTCGGTTTGCTCTCGGGCCTCTAAAACTTCTTTCGCCGCTCGCTCTTCCTTCTGTCTAGCGACTTCCATCAGTCTTTCCACTTCCACCACATCGCACTGTAGGTGGTGTAATTGTTGTTCAAAGACCTCCTTACATTTTCGAGTCTCCATAAT